GCTTGGTCTCTGAAGCCCGTGTTTTTTGGGTGGCAGTTCAGCAATCACGACTTTACGTTAGAATCAATTGATTTGCTACCCTGTCAGATTTATACTTTTCACCCGATTCTGGTATCGTTGGGTTGTTTAGCAGCTAGCTAACGCAGGCTCCCCAATTAAGCGATCTGGTTTCGGCTGTCAGTGTTCGTTTTGGCTAAAAGGGTCATGGGCATCAGTCGAATTAATAAAAGAGTAACTGTTCCGAAGAGTAATTTAGATTCAGATAAATTTTGATAATTCTTACTCTAGCGTAATTTCCGTAGTCGACTACACCGCGTTAGATAGTAGATTAACTCTATCTAGTTTTGCGAAAGCGTCTTTAAATACACTTAGAGAATCACACTTAGGTCGGATTCCTCGCTGTGGTAGACTATAACGCGCTAACATTATTAATTTTGTGAATTTTCATTTATATAAGTTTAGAAACCGAATTACACTTATGTAGGATTCATTATAAATTATAAACGTGTTAATCAAGTAAAATCCTGTCATTGCGATAGTTTCGAATACGAGAATCAAATACATATGTAGAATATCAAATTTAGTTAATATTACAAAAGCAAAGTTAGCTTTATCAGAGATCAGACTCAGGTACGATCCAATATCAAGTATTAACCAGCGAGTTTCATTTCGTTAAATGAGTTTCATTTCGTTAAATTCACGATTTCGTTAAATTCACGATTATCTATTACATATTGTTTAATTTGTCAAGTTCTATTATTTCTATTATTATCATTATATCAAGATCCATTTACAGTAGGCTCTCGACTTTCGCACATAATTGGTTCCTGAAAGTGTGTGCGAATGTTGAATGTTCGAAAGTAGAGGGATATAAAAAAATAAGCACCAAAAACTGTGTTTTAAAGTATTTATTTATTAATATATATACATAATAAAGTTAAAGGAGGCATATTAAGTTCTTTCAGGTGCTTCCTTTATAATTTTATAAAGAGTTAATTGAATGCCACCCATTTTTTTCTTTTCTTGATAAAGATTTTTATAACATGCTATGCCTTTCTTAATTGCCCTACGTACTTGATATATACGTTCTCCATTGGGATCACATTCTTCCATGATACTCAAAAATTTGTCAAGATGCGTGAAGGCTTCGTTCATATTTTTAATTTTCAAAGTCTTGACATTTTTATCAGCTTCTTTTTCCTTATTTTCATCGTGTATTTCAGTGTTACTCAATTGTTGCTCAATTAAATATTCATTTGAGAGCGGTGCTGAGTGTGACTCGATCAATTCATCAACATCGTCTTTATTGACGTCCAACTGTAGTTGATTCATTAAAATAAATATTTCATTTGTTAAATCACCAGCTAAGTTTCCACCAAGAAGTAATGTCAATTGGTTTTTGGAAGGCTTATGTCCAGGAGCAACTGATTCTCCCTTCAATAAAAATGTGCGATTTGACATCTTTTTCCAAAACAAACCTGTCTCATCTACATTGAATATTTGACTACGAGAATATTCTCCATCTTCAATAATTTTGGATAATAAGGAAATAAATTCTTTCGCAGCATTTTTATCTGCATCGGCCGATTCTCCAGTGAATTTAATATTATGTAACGAATATCTCACTTTAAATTTTTCAAACCAGCCATTACTTGCTTGAAATACCGTGTTCGAATTTTCATTTCATCTAATCTTCCAATCTTCATGCAAACTAAGAGCCTTAGCTTGAATAATTGAAAAACTCAGAGGAACATTATTTTGATGTTGATCATCAATCCATGATGACAAAGATCTTTCCATTTCATCCATCACTATGCCGTGTCTTTTGGAAATAATCTTTGAAGATATATTTCCACAATTTTTAACGTATTCCGTAATTTTACTCTTGTCTTTCAAAATTGAACATATCGTAGATCTATTTATACCGTATAAACGTCCGATTGAAGCAAAAGATTCACCGTTTTCAAAACGTTTAATTATTTCCATCTTTGTCTCAATCGTATGAAGTTTATGAGTCCTTAATTTCTTTTTGTTCATATCAACACTGCAGTTTTTTCGTTTCTGACTTATGTTTATCAATTTATAAGAGCGAAATATTTAAATTTAAACAAATAAATTAATAAAACACACAACAGCACCACATAAATTAGTAAAACACACAATCCGTTGACGCACGTCCTAATGCAAGACTGAAACTGCTTTGTTCTTTTTCTTTTGTCCCCTGGGAGGGGACATCCGATCGCACACAATTAAACAATTGAATCTTTAAAAATGTGCAAAATAGCGAATTGTGCGAAAGTAGAATGTGCGAAAGTCGAGGGTCGCCTGTAGTTTCTTTGTTCTAATCAATCATTTATAATCTATGTATATACTTTTCTTTATTTTGTTGTTATTGTTATTTCTTAGTTTCATTTCTTATCGTTTTATTGAATAAACCTTATTGTTGAAAGATATTGACCTGTGGATTTCACTCCTTAACCGCACACCACACGAATCCCACAATCTTTATTTGCAAAACGAGTCGTTCAGGGGGGTAGAAGCCGCTCTTTACCTTTCTAGCGCCCGTAACTAACTGAACCTAGGTTCCAGGGTCGTTACACATTCTGCAATCAAGTTAAAAGTCCGCAACGTAGATAACAAACTGTAATTTTCGAAGTATTGTATTCTTGCATGTGTCCGTTCGTAGAAACAGTCTGCATCAAGTTCAACGAGTATTGAGCGTGTAAAAAAAGACATTAAACCAGCTTGGAAGCGCTTTAACGGAAACTACCCATTCGTGCGCAATATCACGTTTCAGCTCAACGATCGGGTTGTCAACTTTTTCATTGTCTTTATTTTAATAACGATGGATGGGTGGCGGACTATATCGGTCGGTTTTATTGGAAATTCTTATTACTATCTGTACATGAACGTTGAAGTGTCATGTCGTAATACTTGTCGAAATAATAACAATAGGAGTTTATGAAACTTATTATACGTATAGAATGATTCAACTAAATAACCAAAAATAAACTGAGTTTTTCTCCTGTTTCGTGTTACACTGATTTATACCTGGGTCATCAGATGTACATATAGACTTTATATCCTGTGACTTTTATTGCATTTTGGATTATAAAATATAATCAAAAAGTTCCAAAAGTATAGGAAGTATAGTATAATTTATTAATTACAAATATATGGTATTAAAAATATAATTCACGGTATAAAATATAGCTTTACTAAATCAACTCGACACAATCATTTTATTCGGCATCGCTCGCTAAACTGAACTTCGCAACGTCGGGCGCAGTCGGAAATCGCTTCGCGAACCGGAACCCGACGACACCCGTCGATTCCGCGGTCTTCTTTCAAAATTTAATTGCTACAAACATATTTTGATTTATGGAAAGTTTGAATATTCGCTTATTCTTAAATGAATCATGTTCAAGTGTGAAAATAAATTTTCTAATACATACTTTATTGAAGTAACACATAGTTTTAAAAAATCCATTAATATGTATTTTGATTTGGATAGTAACAGAGGAATTTACGGTATAACTGGATATGTTTTGAAATTCGAATATATTTTTTATACGCTAGAAAAAAATTCTATTTTATAGAGTTCAACTTTAAACTCATTTTTAAGTAAACCAATTTTTCTGAAATTTTTCTACGTTATTTTAAAAGTCTTTTCTAAATTCTATGGTATGTATATTTTATTCAATTGTACCCCGGTACGGGGTAATTACGGACAAACCCGAGACGTAAATATAAAATAGGCAAAGCTTGTATAGCTATTTTTTTTCTATACATATAACTCGACAGCACGCCGCGAAGTAGGTGTTAGTGCGTATAGAATGTAACTATGGTCTATCTAGATTCAGAGTATGTGACGGAAAGACTCGATCGCCGCATACACTATAAAGATAGAGCCCATCTGCCGCAAATTTGGTAATTCCCGCGTCGTGAGCTCCGTTTATAGGTTCTTAGATCCATGGCTTCCGCATGCGAACGAAGTCGATTCAATTTCATTTATATCAGAAACATTGCGAAATGAAGATGCAGTTGTTACATTTACGTATATTACCAGATATATCTATAATGGTTCGTATTCTTCCTCAGGAA